ATTGTCTATGATTTCTATGTCTAGATCCTTGTTTATTAGGATCGTTGTGCCGCCCTTGGAACCATCTGCCGGAGCTCAGAATTGCGGCCCCTTCCACCAAGGGGCTATTTCCGTGATTTTAACTTGGTCTAGTTTCGTTGCTTGGAGACATAAAATTTGTACTTTGTTAGAGTGCATCCACGCTAGAAGGCGAGGTCTTTTGAGACGACTGGTTGTTTCATCGAGTCCACGGATGTTCCAGGTAGATATTCTTACCCTATTGGGTAAGACCATCGTCCTGGATCGTGCCTCCATTAGCTTGGATGCAGCTGGCCGGTCCCGGTATGCAGCCGGAAGGGGTGTGCAGGTGAGAGGTGAAGCTGGGGGAACTCAGAGTATCCAGCAGGTCCGCATGGATGAACCAGTTTGCTACGTTCTAAGCTGAGGTTTCATTTCCAGTGCGGATCTCCAGCAGGGAGTCTGGCCCCAGAGTGATGAAGGATTGAAGTGGGATCTAGTGTAGCAAGAGGTCATCCCATTGTTGCTTTGTACCAATAAACGCCGAGAGTCCCAGGAACCAAATGTGTAGGAACCATCTGGGCGGGCCACTGTGTGGCGGCCTGGCTGGGGAAACGGTAGGACGAAGCATGAACCCAATCCTTTTAATAGGCTTTGGTTAATGCTGTCTGTCAACACCGTATCTGCAGACGGGCCGCTGAGAAAGCAAAATGGCAATTCCACCGATTCCTCCTTCCTTAGAGTGAGGAGACGGGGGCCCTGGGGGGAATTAACGCAGATTAAGGGGATTAATATTTCCTTAAAGCTTGCATTGAGTTTGTCCTTCCTGGACAAGGTGACAAGCGGGCAGCTAGACTCAGGACGGGTTTCGCTATCAGTAGGCTGAGGTTTCTTTTCTTGGATGGAAGAATCTCCGAGGTGAGGGTCGGGCCTATCACCAGTTCAGACTCCTGAGTCACCGCCACTGGACGGTACACACTCCTGTTGAGGTCTATTCTGACCTTCTTCCTGGATAGGCTACCGTAGTCACTCTCCTCTACTGATCTACTTCCATCCGCTTTGCCTTCTGGCCCTTTTCACTGCTAAGGGTTACCCTTGCCCCTCTTCCTTGCGTCGGTTGGGACGAACGAGGGTTTCTGAGCATGGAATTTGACGTTTTTCGGGCGGGACCCAGACATCAAGGAAAAGGGCTCTTTGGGTTCTTGAGCAGGGGGGTCATTACTGTCTCTCATTACCAATTCCTCTGGGGGGCTCCCCTCAGCTGGAGCGGAGGTTTCAGAGGGGTTGGGTTTCTCAGTCCCGCTGGGAGATGGGGAGGGGGGGGGGGGGGGGGGGGGGGGGGGAGGGCCTTCTCCGCATCTTTTTCCCGGAAATCAAACCCTAACTTGGCTTGCTTGATTACTTCATCGAAATTGGGTGGCAGGCCCGCGAGAGCCTTGCTTTGTGTGGGTTTCGAGGGGGAGGGGACTGGGGATGAGGCTTTGGAGGCTTCATCCGTGGTCTCCTTCCTTTCCGCCTCCTCCCTATCAGCGTTTGGGTCGCCTTTCCCCATGACTTCTGGCTTGTCCATGGTAGGTAAGGGATCCTTCTTATCCGAGTCTTTGGATCCGCTGGCGGAGTCCGCAACGGAGGTGGTGGGAACCGGAAGAGGGTTGTCCTTCTTGGCTCTTTTTTTCCCGGCTTTCTTTCTCTTGGTCTTGCCGGTAAGTTTCGCTGGAAGGGGTCCTTTCTGGCTGGAGGGAGAGGGGGGGGGGGGAACCCCCTCCCGACCGCCTCCTCCTGAGTGTCGTCTGTCCCTGTCTGGGACCCCTTACCTGCTTCGGTCAAGGATGTTGAGGGCAGATTGCTAGTTACCTTCTGGAGAAGTTCCCAGTTGGTCCGGAAAGAGGACTTATCCGGGGCAATAAAGCCTTTTCTCCCATTTGCCCTCAACCTTGTGGGGCAGTTTGGATCCTCGTCAGCGTGGAAGTGTTTGCAACAGGCTTTACACCAGGGTGTCGCTGTGCAAACCATTTCCAACTCTGCAAAGTCGTCTTCTTCCATGTCCACTATGACCCAACGTTTGAATCGAAGACGAGCTAAGGCTCTACATCGAATCTGACGTTCCAAAGGTTGGGGGACAGGGGATCTGCATACGCGTCGTACGCTTTGAGGATTTTGCCCAAAATTTTTTCCACCGACCCTTTCAGGTGGGGAAGTGCAGATATCGGGACTTGTAAGAAACGAACCCAAAAAAACTTAAATTTCATGGATTCGCGCCACTGGTTTAACTCAAGTTCGGACATCCATGGCTCAAAGGTAATCGTGTATTTCTTATTGTCTAATTCGACGTCACCTGAACCTTTCCGAATCATCCAGTCCGCAATCACACTAGCACTTGCTACATAGGTTAACAAATTTTTGCCTTCATTTCTGAAGACGCCCCTCTTAGGAACTGCATCTATCTCACTCGATCGGCCCCAACCATCCTCGTAAATACGAACGAGGTCGTTTTTGACCGACACGGAGAGAGACGTGGAATCATCCCCAAAGAAGATCGAGACAACATGGGCTCTCAACCACTCCACCTGAAAGTTGTAAATTTCCTTCCTGACGACTACTCTCACAGAGTCAGGTCCCTCCTCTGCTACGCGAGGGGCTAAGGACTCGGAATCGGGGAGAATCCCGTTGTTGTAACATTCGGATATGGTGTCCCAAACTCTCTTCCTCTCCTCTGGGGAAAGCTCTACGCCATCGAGAGGAACCTGGGAGGCCATCTTTGCCAGGAGAGGCGTCAGCAAAAGCAAAAATAGGGAGCAGAGTAGCAAGCCTTAAGTGGAAAGGGTTGGTATACATGTGCATATGGAGGCTGTAGCCGACGGGAGGGATATACCTGCGTTATCCTTATCGGTCGGCCCTGAGCCTTGACGTCTTGATGTCTTGAAGTCTTCGTGTCTTGGTGTCGTTGTGTCTTGGAGTCTTTTGTCGTCCTTATCCCGTCTTTGTTGCGTGTGTAACGTGCTTGTACGGCGGGGGGGAATAGCAGAGAGGGGGGGGGGGGGGGGGGTGCACACTAGGGAAGAAGACTCCCCTCCTCTTTACCCGAGGAACGTATGTTAAGCTGATACTCGGAGCGGCCGGGTTGCAGCGCCTAACGAAGGGACGGGCTGAGCGGAGAGGAGAGATTACCAGTCCGCTTCTTCCGTACTGCCTCCTAAGCTTGCCAACCGGCTCCTGGGTGTGAGAAAGTTGGTAGCGTGTGGTAGAGAGAGAAGGGAAGACGAGATGATGGAGAGGCTGGAGTGGTTGGAGGAGCTGGCGGGTGACGGCATTGCTGTCCGGAGATGGCTATGGCCTGGTGTGCAAGAAAAGCACAAACGGCTAGTCTCTCGTAGCTGATACCATAGCTTCCACTACTAGCAGGTCAGGAGGATCTTCTTCCGCCTTAGCTCTAATCCGAAAACCCTAAATCGCTCTTAGCACTAAGCGCCCCCGGGGCGGCGCTTAGCGCTGGCGAAATAGCGCACCGAATTAGCGCTACCGGAAGCGCTCTTCCCATACCTCGCCCCCCTTGTTTCGTTTCCGAAAGCGAAATTTCTCAAATTCGGCAGTGGAGCCCCCAACTCTTCCTCAAAGTAGGCCAGAGAGGGGTACTTCAGTTGCACTTACGCGCATTCTCTGTTTCCGGCAGTCGATCTCCGTGATCTCTGGTCATCAACTGGTCCTTGAAACTCAAGTGTTTGTAGTGTTGTCAAGTGGTGTGGCACGAGGCCCTTAGTTCATTTAGAAGCAAGCTGGATTCGAACGCTGCCCTGCATTTGAACAGGTCGTGGGTGTACCAACTGTGCTAGCATCTTCCCCTAACACAACGCACCCTCATTTTGACTGTACCGGGCTGTAAACATACCCTGTATACGTTCATTTTCCGGGTTCTTTATATTCGGGGAAAGGCGGTAGGCTTGTTGGTGGGAGCGGAGTGTTGATGACGGAGGAGAGAGGAAAAGGAAAAAAGCAACGGAACAAACCATGAAAACGACGGTAGAACTGTTGCCCGCCAGATTGCGCGCATTCCGCGGTTCTCTCGCCGGGGTTGCGCGGGGTTCCCGCAAACCTCCCGCCGGCGGGTGAGTGGGCCGTGCCTTTTCTGTTACCAAGGCAACAGACGGCGGGAGGGCGAGAGGGAGGGAGGGAGGGAAAGGGAAAGAGGTGTACTCAGTAGGTAAAGAGGGGAGGGTGAGTTCTGGGCCGTCGCTCACAATCTAAATGCAATTCGTTTGGATGCTTATCGTCCAGGTGCATTCGGTCGAGTCAAGCATTTGGAATGAACCTGGTCCCGAAAATAGCCCAAATGCATGAAAAGTGTTGTGTAATGGAGCGAGGCCCCTGGTTTTAGGGATTGTTCGCGACTTGGCAGAGATCTGTTGGCGACTGGCCTCTCCGGAAGAAGAGTGACGAACGAATCTCAGGGCATCTGACGGTAATTTCTTTTTGTTTTTTTTTTTCTGTTTTTTTTTTCTGAATCTGACGGCAATTTCGTCCACAGCTTAGCGCATCTGACGGCAATCACGCCCAGAGCTTGTAGAAAAAATGCCAACGTAGCCCAGGCTCGAGAGAGGGCCTCGCTCCACTACAGAACACTCTACATGCATTTAGATGCTTTCTAGACCGGATGCGTTCGAAGTGTTGGACTCCTGACAATGCACCTGGTCGAGGGAGCGTCTAGATGCATGTATAGTGTGTTGTGCAGTGGAGCGAGGCCCGGAGCTCAGGCTTCGCGCTACTCACGCGGAGGACAGCACAGACAGGACCAATCGGGGGGGAGAGATTAGGGGGACCAGCCAGTCGTGGGGGAGCAGCCCCGTCGATCTGGAAGTAGAGAAGTCCCTCTTGCCTGCTGGAAGACTGGAAGAGTGGCGAGGCAGGCGGTGGGGAGAGGGGAGAGGGGAGAGGGGTGCATGGGAAGAGGGCTGTAATAGAAATCTGTTGGGTGACAGGTGGAATTGCCAATAACCGCGAGCCAGTCGTGGAATAGAAATGTGTCGTCACACAATTGTCAGGGACAGAAAAAGGGTGGGCATTGAATTCGCGGGCGTTGTCTGATACTGCTACCTGCAGGGTTTCACGAAGGGAGCCAAGTGTTCGTTCATCAGCTATCAATAGCTTATTTGCGCAGTTCTTGCTTGCCAACGACTCGTCCTGGCACCCGGCATTCGGCACTCGGCACTCGGCACGTCCTGCTCCATAACCTCTCCTACCTACTCTTTGCTAGATACAGTGCCCCTCTCCTCTCTCTCTCCTCTCTCCTCTCTCCCTCTGCTCCCTAGTCATCGGTAGATACAGTGCCGTACCGTACGTCACGTTCTGAGAAAATGCACTACGGTAGAGAGGGCGCTTTTTTAGGTACCAACTGACACCTACTGCCATCCGTGCGCTGCGGCTGGGTTCTGGCTCTCTCACGCCGCTCCGCCCACCCACTCGGTGGTCTCCCTCTCCCCTCCGCCCACCCATTCCCCGCCCCCAACGTCGTTCCGCCCCCCTCGTGGCGCGACTGTTTAAGGGCGGCTCAAACTCCCGGGCGGGTGAGCTAGCGAGCGAGCTAGAGAGAGAGAGAGAGAGAGAGAGAGAGAGAGAGAGAGAGAGAGAGAGAGAGAGAGAGAGCATAATGTCTGCGAGTGGGAAACTGAGTGCCCATTGAATAGTAGCGGGTGATCCGAAGAATGATCTTTGGCTCTGAGGCGAACGGCGGCTCTTCCGGTAAAGGTGCCGCTGATTCTAACGTCGTTGCATCGGACTCTCTGAAGCGGTCCAACATGGAGAAAGAGGGAGACGACGACAGGGGCAGCCCTACCAAGAGACCTAATTTGCGCGCTGATTCTGGTGCGATTCCTTGCAACAACCCTCTGGCTGTCCCCTCTCTTTCCATGGTCGTCACCATCGCAGCTGGGAATGGCCGATCCTATTGTAGAAGCCCGTTAGATCTCTTTCTTTCATCCCTCTCTTTCTTCCCTTCCTGTCCCTTCCCCCCCCCCCTCTCCTCCTCCTCCCCCTCCCGTCCGCTTCCCTACGCCTCTCCCTCTCTCTCACACATCCACATCTCCACGAGCACACGCAGAGACACACAGACTCACCCTTACCGCCTGTTCCCCCCCCCCCCCCCCTCTCTCTCTCTCTCTCTCTCTTACACACACACACACACACCCCTCTCTCTCTCTCTCTCTCTCTTACTTCGGTTTGCGAATTTCCGATTGATGAATCGTGCTTCAGTCACTTCTTGTGCAATGAATCCCCCGCTCAGTGGCTGATTGCTCGTCATCTATCTCCCCCTCCCCTCCACCATTTCGCTCCCCCTCCTCTCCACCATCTCTCTCCTCGTCCCCTCCACCATCTCTCTCCCCCTCCCCTTCTCATCCTCTGTCTACGGTTGGTGGACGGTGTCTATTTGGTTGCACACACATCGTCTTTTGCGAGGGTCTTTACTTGTCTATCTGCATTCTGTCGGACGCACGTGCGCGTGTATCCGTACAGGCGCGCATGCGTTTGTCTCGTTCGTCCTGACGTCTATCTCCCTCATTTCTTTCCTGCACGTTTTATCATTCAGCCTCCTCTTCCTCCTTGTGGGCTCGTCTTCGTGTTCGTCGAGTCTGTTTTTCTATAGCATTTGATCATTCAGCCTCCTCTTCCTCCTTGTGCGCTCGTCTTCGTGTTCGTCGAGTCTGTTTCTCTATTCCGTGGGTCTTCGTTGCCCAGGGCTTCCTTTACTTGCCGCCGAATGCCCCCAGGGCTTCCTTTACTTGCCGCAAATGTGGTATATAGCTCACACATCTGGGTGACTCAACATTGGGGGGCTGGGGATGGTGTTGTTTCCCAACGTTGGTTCCTTCTCTGCTAACGTTGGTTCCTTCTCTGCTAACGTTGGTTCCTTCTCTGCTAACGTTGGTTTCGTCTCACAGTAGTATTATGTACGACAGGTCGCAGGTTCAAACCGCAGACGGAAAAACGAGCATTCGAAGATCGACTAGAGTTTTTTTAAAGTACTTCATTGCAACTTAGTCTTCGGTAGTGTGACCCGCCTGATCTGGCTCTTTGATATGATAGATATCATATGATGTGTATTCCTTACGTGATTTGGACACGTGTCTTCGTCATAAGAAAGCGATGTCCTATACCCATAGACGAAGGGGACGAATGAATGTGCTTGTAGCTCAAGTGGAATGGGAGTTGTACTATTGCGTATTTGTCGAGCATGGGCCTATAACGAGCATTCGAAGTCCGACTATAGAATGTCGTTAATATCTTGTGGCTGAGTTGTTTGACTTCGAACGGCAGGCAGGGTAGAAAACTGAGGAAGAGGGAGAGGGAGAGGGAGGCGATAAGAAAGACAACGATTTCGTCTGTAGAGAGGGAACGCACGTCAATTCTGTTTCTGCGACTGCAGTACTTATTCAAATTAACTAGGCTGGCGAAATGCTCGCCGATCCGATCTATTTGAACTATACATACGCTGTCACGTGGGGGCGCGGGGCGAGGGGCAGAGGACACAAATGCAGAGAATGTG